GCACAGTCAGGGTCTCCTGCTCTGCTGTCACTCAGGTAAGGCCAGTCTCTAACACAGCCATGGCAAGGACCTTGGCATGCAGTCTGAAAATTATAGTACAAAGCAGTAAATACTGAAAACTGCTTTACTTTGGTGTTTCTTAGTGTGTCTGTAATTACTTCATTATATTGTTTAATTATTAATTGGACTGGGATTGAGATTTTCAGGTAATTGGTTTAGTTCCATCACAAATTTTGTTCTTTCAACATAGTGGGGTGGCAAAAGGTTCCTGCTTGTTAGTGTGTTGTTACATTTGCTGTGACCTCCTGAAGGAAGGTATTGTCTTGTCTGAACCTCTGTGTTCCCTGTTTACGTAGTCCCAAGATAATGATACCTCCTGCACTGGCTTGTCCTGAGGAGATGGAGCCTGATACTCTCTCTGTCCCTGTTTCCCAGCTGGTGAGTTGATTGCTCCCTCAGCACCAGATGAAAATCATGCAAAGAAGTTTGTTTGACAGGCTGCTGCTGGACTCCCAGCCCAGCTGCTCCAGTGCAGTGTGTATCACCATCACACACCTCTTCCAGGCTCAAAGCAAGGAGCTGGCCAGCATGGTGAGGACATAACAGCATCGTCATCATTCATAGACAACAGCCTTATACTTTCAGCACCCTCATGTGGTCTGTTGGCGTACTAGAGAAGGAGAGTGCTAATAAGTCCATGAAAGATGCACTGACCGCTTTTTATTTTCTTAGAGTACCATTGCCTCTTACTAACTGAGAGACTCACTGTGCTGGATCTGTGAGCAGGGACACAACTGCTTAATCATAGGGTCTCCTTCAGAAATGCCCCTTTTCAGCTCCTGAAAAGAAAAGGTGTTTTTGTAATTTAAGATACCAGGACCAGCACAAGGATATTCCAGCCAGAGAAATACTCAAAGTCTTATGCCAGCTTCCATAGCAGCAAAGTGATTGGCCCCTGATGTTCTTGTTCCCTTTAGTTTCCTGACATCCTGCGAGTCTTTGTCTGCTGCTGGACT